TAGAGGGCTTTGTAGTGAGTAGACATAGGTGCGGCGACCGAATCAAACGTGTAGGGGATAGGTAGGCGGGGGCTGTAGTAAATTTGCCTTTTGGGGTGTTTTGTAAGGATTTCGTAGAGGGCACAAGCAGAGCAGCAGGGGCGCTAGCAGGCATGCATATGAAGCAGAGATTAATTAGCCGTCGCATAAGTGTGTCCCAGAAGCGCAGGGCAGCAGCAAGGTAAGTGTGCCGGTGACAGGTGACAGGTCTGGTAACGGGATAGGCAGGGCGGGGCTGAGCTAGGTTTGCCTCTAAGGAAGCTTCTAGTTTGTAGAAAGTAGACATAGGTGCGGCCAGTGAAGCAACCGAGTAGTAAGGTAGAAGCACCAGGCCTGGGAGGTTCGCGGAAGGTTTTACCTTGCGGCTTGACCTTGCAGCAGGGGCAGGACGTGTGGGAGGCATGTAGGAAGTCTGCTGCGCGTCTAAGCGCGCAACAACATCTGAAGGCGCGCGTCTGGGTGCGTGTCCTGAGGAGCAGGGAAGCGGCAGCGAGGTAATCCGCAGGCCACCTGCTGCCGAGTAGCATGTCGCTGTGTCGCAGCCGCTGGAGAGCAGCCAAGGCGCCATGGCGCCAATCACGACGGGGTCGTTCTAGGCAAGAGTCAAGTGCTGAAGAGCCGCAAGCGGACAGAGAGCAGTCGGCATGCACACATGCCTGAGAGGACAGGTAGAACCGCGCAACGCACACAGGGTTGCGGCAGCCTTTCTGTGTCCAGCGCTGTGGTGCAACGCATGATGCGCCGTAGGACCTCCTTGGAGGCAGTAGCTGCGCTACCCGGCAGGTCTGGCCGGTGTGAAGTCTTCGCAGGTGACGACCCCGCCGATGAGGTAGTCCCGGTCGTAGTGCACACGGGATAGGGCCACGTAACCAGCCGCCGGGCAGCGCGGGCGATCCAGCCACACAGTGACGTGTGGCAGCTCGGCGCCTTGGTACTTGTAAACGGTCCCGGCGTAGCCCAAGCGGAGAGGGTAGTAGACCACACGGCCAACTGGCACGTCGTCGTCTGTGAAGGGATAAATCGGCAATCTGAGGCCTGTGTCGGTGCGGACAACGACAGATTTGGCAGCCGAGTCCACATGCTCCACAACGGCGGGCATGCCGTTCACGAAGTGATGTTCTTTGTCTAAGTTCTTCGTGAGCACGACGCGGAGGCCTGCATAGAGGACGACGTGGGATGGCTCTGGAGGCCGGTCCTCGCGTAGCTTTCCGCCGTCGTGGTAGTTGTCAGGGTTGTCCTCGTAGTCGCCAGGTACGTGACCAAGAGCCCGCTTGTTCCGATTCTTGAACAAGACCTGCACGGCGTGCTGATTGATGAGGCCTGCTCCCCTCTTCGTGCAGGTGAGGAAGGTTGTGCAGTTGTTCGTGGAGCGCAAAGTTGCGGCAATGTCTTCACTTGTGGGCTCGTGATGGCCCGACCACGCCTTGTGGCCGCGGCAAAGCTGGTGAGTCACGAAGCTAGCGCCGGCGTGGCCACTGAGCTGACCGACGCGAAGGGTTTTGAGCTTTCCTGCCAGGACAGAATCCTTGCAGCGGTGCACTGTGTTCAGATGCAAGTGCTGACACAGCCTCCACTTGGGGTGCTGGTCAGGGGAGTCGCCGTCAATGTTCGGCAGCTGCCACGGATCACCCAGCAAAAGCAAGCATGGTCGCCGATCAGCGGCGTTCCACATCTCCAGCAAGCGATCGAAGTGCTCGGCGCTGAGCTGTAGGGCTTCATCCACAAGAACGAAATCGTATGGCACCAGGAGGCCGACAGCTTCTTGCCGCGGTCGATGCAGTAGAAAGGCGCCGTGGCATGTGTCCACGTGGATGCCAGGGTGACGCTGTCGAACACGGGCAGCCAGCTGCCCTGTCGGCAGAGCGTACAGCACCGTGGCGTGGCTTGCAACGCTGCGTTGAATGCAGAGATCCGCCACCAGTGTCTTCCCACTGCCAGGAGGGCCCGTGCAGACGAGAACGCTGTTGGCGTCTGCGGCCTCCCTGGCCAGTCTGTCCACTTCACTTGCAGGGGCGTGTCGGGCTGCCAGGGCGCGATCGATGCGAGCATTTACGGCCTCCTGCAAGGCCATCTGCGCCAAATCAAGGATGACGTCAGGAGCCGCGTGACCAGACGCAGGAGCGGCGGCGTCGAGCTCTGCGCTCTTGTCCAAGGAGCCATCCAGGTACTGCTTAATCAGGGCTCGCTGCGCCTGTAGCATGGAGCAGGCGTTCTGGATGTAGGAGTCGCCGTAGGCTTCAAGCTGCAGCAAGTCCCGAATGCTGTCATCCGATGTCCACAAGCGGGGCGCGTGCTGCAATGCGCAGGCGTGATGCAGGTATCTGTCGGGCACCTTGGCCACGAGGTGGGGCTGCAAGAAACTATGCAAGTCGCGAAAAGGCACGTTCATGGCTAGCCATTGGCCAAAGAACTTGTCGTTGGAGACTCGGACCGTTTCGGCGGCGATGATTTTCTCTCCCGTGGTTTTGTACTGGCGGGCGAACATTTCCAGGGAGAGGTCATTCTTTGACGCTAGATGGTGTCGCCGGAGCCAATGGAGAATTGCACCTCTGTCATTGGTCTTTCGAAGCCACTCCAG